ATAATATTGGGGGACCTGAACACACCTCTCAGCATTTGACAGATCATCTAGGCAACAAATCAACAGAGTAACCATTACTCTTTCAGCAGGAGAGAAGAAATCTAGGGTAATTAGATGGGGGAGGGGGGAGGAAGAGGGAGATGGGGAGAGATTGGACAAGGGGCATAAAGAATAATTATGATTTGTAACAATATATATGCTAGTAATATTGATTTGATCAATATATGTCAATGTTGAACCCCAAAAATATGTATAATCAATTATGATTCAATAAAATTTTTTTTTAAATTTACATTTCCCCAGTCACTAATAATTTTGAACTTCTTTTTATGTGCTTATTGGTCATTCACTTTTCTTTTTAAGCATATGTTCAACTTTTGCTTCTTTTAAACACTGAGTTAGAATTCTTTATATGTTCTGAATGTAAGTCCTTTGTCAGGTAGACAATAGACTTAATACTGAATGTTGGAATCTTAGAAGTAGATTTCTATATGTCTTTTTAGTTTAATGATATTTCTAGATCTCAAGACTCCATTCTGCTTTTCCTTCAATATGCTTATATGGCTTTATCTGTGCCAATAAATCTATATCTACATTATCATTTTTTAATGGGTGAACAGTATTTCATTAGATTAATAAATTACAAGTTATTTAACTAAAATACCAATAATGTATAGTTAGGTATAATCGTTTTTGCTATTATAAGCTAGGTTATGATGAATACAATTATGTACATGTCTTTAATAGTTTTTTTTAGGAAAATCTATAAAATAGAATTGTCAGTTCAGAGGATATGCATGAACTTTAGACTTTTATACATATTTACAACTTCTTTGCCTAATGGTTATACTCTCATCAGCAGTACATAAGAATGTCCTTTTCTCCATCTTAGAGAGTTTAATAATATCTTGAATAACTTCAAACTCCTCCCCACGGCCTGCATTATTCTGACGATGTCTTCAACCATCATCTTGTGCAATTTCTCTAAGACAGCAACACTCCAGCCACACTGGCCTTCGTATATCTACATAATCATTTTTTAATGGGTGAACAGTATTTCATTAGATGAATAAATTACAAGTTATTTTACTAAAATACCAATAATGTATAGTTAGGTATACTCGTTTTTGTTATTATAAGCTAGGTTATGATGAATACAATTATGTACATGTCTTTAATAGTTTTTTTTAGGAAAATCTATAAAATAGAATTGTCAGTTCAGAGGATATGCATGAACTTTAGACTTCCACGTCCCCATTTGCTTCTCTGCCATCTGTATCTTGGTGCAATAAGTTTATAAGATGCAAGAGTACGAAACAGCTCATCCTGTGAATCACAAATACTACATTAAAAACACGGGCACAAGTTTTGCTGAAATTAGCACTATTAAATATTCTATTTCTTATTTGATAGTGCTTTACTATTTAAGAAATAATGTAGAAAGCAAATTTTGCCTTTTTTCATAATTGCAACATTCTGCACTTGTCCTAGATTTAATTAGACTAGATTTCATTTCTGTTAGGAAATCTCATTTAAACTTTACCGAGCATTTTCTATCATGTGTTAGAATTAGCTTAGAAAGCAAATTTTGCCTTTTTTCATAATTGCAACATTCTGCACTTGTCCTAGATTTAATTAGACTAGATTTCGTTTCTGTTAGGAAATCTCATTTAAACTTTACCGAGCATTTTCTATCATGTGTTAGAATTAGCATAAAGTAGAGAGAACATTTTCTACCATCTTCTTCAGAAAACAGATTCTGAAAAATTCGTATCAAAAAGGGGTCTGAAAATGTACTAGATTCTTAGTTTACCTACGCATTTAAATAGTAAGATGTTACATATTGTCTTTACATTTACTTAGCTATAAGTGACTCTTTTTCTTAAAATCTGAAGTCTCCCTTAGCAATCCTTTCTGTTGGTGACTTCTAGAGAAGATAAGAAATAATTCTCTACAGATTACAAAGATTGCTGAAAGGATCACCTGTCCTTGTGCTACCTTAGCAGGGGACAAGAGAACTAGAGAGAGATGGAATAGTGGGTGTTATGATTTGAATGTCCCCTCCAAAACTCATGAGGAAATTTAATTGCCATTGTGATGGTAAGAAGAGGTGAGACCTTTAAGAGGTGATTAATAAGAGCTCTGCCCTCATGAATGGCTTAATGTGATTATTGTGGTAGTAGGTTAGTTATCATGAAAGTGGGCTTATTATAAAAGCAAGTGTGACCCCCTCTTACACTCATGCTCTGGCTCTGGCTTTCACCCTCTTGCCCTTCCACTTTCCACCATCGGATGAAGCACGAAGGCCCTCACCATATGCTGGTGCCATGCTCTTGGACTTTCCAGCCTCCAGAAGCATGAGTCAAATAAACCTCTTTTCTTTACAAATTACCCAGCCTGTGGTATTCTGTTATAGCAACACAAAACAGACTAATTCTGTGGGCAACTGCCAGGGAGAATGGGCCCAGGTTGGTTCCCTCCAACCTTCAGATGTGGATTGCACATGTATCTGCTGGCTCCAGAGTTGACTGTGGAGCACAGAAAAGAGCTGCAGTGGTCTTGTCTGGACCACCGCAGTGTCTGAGAGCAAAAAAGGGATTTGCACAGCACGGATAATGCATGAATGTCCCCAACTGAGAGCTGGAAAAATATTCCAAATGTCTTGGAGAACTTTGGAGAAATAAGTAGTCCTTGAAAATTCCTTTATTATTATATATTATATAATATTATTATTTATTATTTTAGTCCTTTGCCCATTTTTGAATTGGGTTGTTTTACTGTTGTGGAGTCATAGTTCCTTATACACTCTGCATACTAATCCCTTATCAGATAAATGATTTGCAAATATTTACCCCCATTCTGTAGGTTGTCTTTTCACTCTGTTTAAAGTGTCTTTTGATGAAGTCCAATTTACCTATTTTCATTGTTACCTGTGCCTTTGGTGTCATATCTTGTTTTGTTTTGCTTTAGTTAATGCCAGAGCCCTATCCCAGAAATCCTATTTTAACTAGTCTGGGCATTGGAATATTTAAAAAGCTTCCTAGATAGCTCTACTGTGCAGTCAGGGCTGGGAATCACTGCTTTAAACATTCCTTTATATTGATTCTCTAAAAATCACCTGCTTTTAGCTGAAGGACATCCATCTAAAGTCCATTAAAACACACAAGAACTTGAAGATCAATCAACTTTAACCAACCAGGCTCCTTAAGAATCCCAGACATTATGTAGGGGTTCTTAAACTTACATGGGTGTAGAAATCTATTCTGGATCTTGTAAAAATACATTTCCAGATCCCATCTTCAGAAATTCTTGTTCAATAAGTCAGGGATATGGGCCCAGGGAATTTGTATTTGTGGTATGCTTCCCAGGTGATTCTTTTGGAGGGGTCTGGACTGGCAAGGAGAAACACTACTTAAGGGATATGAGTAATGACTCCAGCATACATAGTCACAACCTCTGCCCTTTTATGAAAAAGGGGGCAGGCACACTAAGTCATAGCAATCATGTCGAAGGAAAAACTTTCTAGCTGAGAAATTTCCCTGCAGGATTTCTGGACACTTGTAATTTTTCCTTCAGTGATGATCTAGAAGAGGAGGCCTCAGTACATAGTTTATTTTTCCCAGCCTTTGTGCTGACCAGGCCCACCTTTCTACTCCTTCAGCACCCGTTCACGTCACTGAGATCCCAGCACATATTCCAGCTATGCTGACACACTGAGATCCGGGGATTATGCAGTCTGGGATAACAAAATAACCCCTTTCTTCAAAGATCATTTTATTTAAAATATAATATCTATTTGTAAGACTGATTTAAAAAAATTTTTTTTATTCTGTAGGTGAAACTAAACTTCCCAGAATAGAACAAATCCTCCACTTAAAAGTCCTTGTGGTCATTTTAGCACTTTGCAGTTATAATTTGATCACCATCACATCCATAGAACATCAGTGCCAGGAACTCAGTAGTTACTCAAAAAAATTGGTTGAACGATTGAAGGAACAAATGGATGCTTATAGAGTTGAGGACTTTTATATCTTTAATTTCTTTGGTGTTTGCAAAATTTTTAAACTGAACTTGGGTTTCTTTCTTTTTTATTATTCCTATGGTTAATTTTTCTGATTTTATTGTTTTTCTTCGTTACAAAATTTTATTTTGTTGTGGTTACTGTCTACAAAATATTGTGCTAATGTCATAGCATCTTCCTAGAAGTTAAATCCATTTTTATAAAAGATTTCCTTTTAAAACTGAAAGGATACAAATTACGGTCACAACATAAACTGAAAAGGTAGACCTTCAAACAGTTAAATATAACTTACATTTTCCAGCACGTCATTAATTTCTTCCTCTGCACTCTGAAGTTTGGTTAAAACAGCTGCTCTTTTTAGGTTTAGATATTTAAGTCGATCCATAACTATCTAAATTTAAAGAACAAATGTTTAAATATGTTGGCATTTGAATATCTCAAACATTCTAAAAAAGTAATGGGCTCAAGCCCATGCTCCTTTTGGGACGCTGGCTAGATCCTTGCTTGCTTCCTCCTCGCTTCTGGTGGTCTGCTGACAGTCCTTGGTGGTTCTTGGCTTGTATATGCCTCAGTCCAAATGCTGCCTCTGTTATCACATAGCCATCTTCTCCCTGTGTCTGAGTCTCTTCTCATAATCTATGTTGGATCAGAGCCCACCCTAATTCACTATGACCTCATCTTAATTTGACTACATATGCAAATGCCTTATTACCAAATAAGGTGACATTAACATCTTTTTGAGGAACACATTTTGACTCATAACAGTCTGCCCTCTGGCCCCCAAATATTTATGTCCTTAGAGGTCTGGGTCTACAGAACCTCTTTGGGTAAAAGGAAGATTGCCATGTGAAGACGGAGGCAGATGTTGGAGTTAGGCTGCCATAAATAAGGAAATGCCTGGGGCTACCAGAAGTTGGAAGAAGCACGAATGGATCCTCCCCTCCATCCAATTTGGAGGGAACATGGCCCTGCCCACACCTTGCTTTTGGACTTCTAGCCTTCAGAACTGTGAGAGAATAAATTTCTGTCATTTTTAAGCAAACAGAAAGGACATCGTTGGGTGGGAGGGGGGAGAGGGAGGAGGGAGGGAGGTTTCAGTAATGGGCCACAATAATCAACCACATTGTATATCGACAAAATAAAATTTAAAAATAAATAAATAAATAAATTTCTGTCATTTTAAGCCATCCAGTTTGTGGCACTTTGTATGGTAACCCTAGCAAACGAATACGTACACTACGTGGAAGAATATAGAAAAAAAAAAGAGAGAGAAAGAATAGAGAAAAAGACTAGAACGTAGAGTATGAGATGAGAGATGGTGAGAGAGACAAAATTCTGATGGTATGTAGTAGTCTGTGGTAAGTTGTATTATTTGCTCACAGTTCAACCTTCCCTCCCTTTGCTTGTTAATTCCCTAGGTCATTTTGGCTGGAGGACACTTCCTCACTCCAGTGATGTGGAGCTTCTCCATGTAACTTGCTTTGGCCAATGGAATGTGGGCAGCAGTGCCGCGGACCACTTCCAAACTAGGCCTTAACAGGCTTGGCGAGTTTCATTCAGGCCTCTTGGAGCTTCTGCCCTCTACCCTGAGGAAAGTGTGTCCCAGGTAGTAAAAAGGGATAACACTCTGGGTATATTTTGAAGGAGCCTGCTATGCGTGCTGATGGATTGGACATGGGATGTGAGAGAAAAAAAGAGAAGAAGAGCACCTGGAAGGATGATTTTGACATTTGCTGAAAGAGGAAAAAAACCAGAAAACTGTGGGAGAAGCATATTTGCAGTGCAGGGTGGGGCAGGGGGTGGGCTTTTATCTTGCACATTTAAATCCCAGATGACTCTTAGACATCCAGTTGGATATACAGTAGTTAAGTAGCAGTTGAGGATACAAGTGTGGAATTCAGTGGAAAGGTCTGGGATAGTAATACAGTATGACCTTAAGAGTTGCCAGTGTTGGCTGGCAGGTTAGCTCAATTAGTTAGAGTGCCGTGTTGTAACACCAAGGTCAAGGGTTCAGATCCCCTTACTGGCCAGTCACCAAAAATAAAAATAAAGAAGTTATTAAAAAATAAAAGTAGTTGCCAGTGTTTAAAGGTATTTAAAACTGTTGGACTGGATGAAGTCTCCTAAGGAATGATGGCAGACAGAAGAGCTCAAAAAGAGTGAGCTCTGGCGTCCTCCAACACTGGAGGTTAGAGATTTAGATTACCTAGCAAGGTGTTATGGAACTACTGTGGTGTGAGGTCCGAGAAGCCAGGGGAAGGGAGAGGAAGGAAGAAGTGATCATTGGTGTTAAATGTTGCTTCTAGATTGGATTAAATGACAACTTAAAAAATGACCACTGCGTTTGGTTATGAGGAGATCACTGGTGATCTTGGCAAGAGCATGTTCCAAGTGAGGAGCTTCTCCCTGATCTCACTTCACCACTAGCATTATTATCGTGGTGCCAGCAGTGAGTTCAAGTCAGAAGTCTGGGCATTCTCTTTAATTTTTCTCTCTCCCATAATTCCTGCATTAAGTTACTCACCAAGTCCTGTCATGTAGACTTCTTAAATATCTCTCAGATCTGTCCTCTTCCATCCATTCCTATGGTCACTACCCTAGGCTAGGCCACCACTTCTTACATGAGCAACTGCAAAAGCCAGAACTAGTCTTCTAGCACCATTTTGATTCTCCTTCCATTTTTTCTTTGTACTGCAGTTTGAGTGTTCTTAAATAGAAATAGGATCCCTTTCACTCTCTGGCTTAAAACCTTTCACTGGCTTTCTTACATGAGCAACTGCAAAAGCCAGAACTAGTCTTCTAGCACCATTTTGATTCTCCTTCCATTTTTTCTTTGTACTGCAGTCTGAGTGTTCTTAAATAGAAATAGGATCCCTTTCACTCTCTGGCTTAAAACCTTTCACTGGCTGCTGACTCTCTCACTATAAGGACTAAACTCTTTAATATATCTTACAAGGTCTTTCTTGGAGTAACCCCTGCTTCTTTCTAGAGTCATGGCACCATTCCATCCTCTCTACCCTATCCCTCTATGTTCCAGTAACGTTCAGTTCCTACAACTCACTACGCTCTTTCTTGCTTCTGGGGCCTTTACGTAGACTCTTCCCTCAGCACAGAACACTGTCCCACCTCCCTCCGCTCCCCTAGCCTCAAGGCCTAATTCTTACTTGTCCTTTAAGTTTCAACTTGAAAGTAATTTCAGACATGTGGCCCTTCTTACTAGACTAGGTTTTGTTCGACTGTCATGAGCTCCTATAACACCTTGTACTTCTCTGACTGCAACACGAACCGCCCTTTAAATATTTATTTCCCCAATATATTGGATACTACATGAAGGGAGAGACTCGTGGACTCACCTGCCTCCTTCCCATCTGTATCCCTTGAGCTTATAATGCCAGACACCTGTTAGGTGTTTAAGAAACAGTTCCTGTATTTTTGTATTATCCTATTATTTTTTATAAAATATTTTTTGGTTCCAATTTCTCCACATCCTCACCAACACTTGTTATTATCTGGTTTTTGTTTTTGTTTTCACTTTCACCATTCTAGTGGGTGTGAAATGGTATCTCATTATGGTTTTGATTTGCATTTCCCTAATGACAAATGATGTTAAGCATCTCATCGTATGCATCTTATCAAATCGTATAGTATCATACGCAAATTGTTGCCATTTGCTTTTACTTTTCTTTGAGGCACTTTTTGTCATACTGAGATTTTAAATTCAAATGTAGTTTTGATTTAAATATGGACAGATGAATAAACAGAACATCAAGTTTTTAAGTGTCAAAATGGATTTTTCAAAAATAAATGGTGTTAAAATGTAAATATATTTCTCTTTATAAAAATATATACAACACTGTCAATAGTTTTTTAATCTTCCAAACTGTGAGATATTCTTACTGATCACTGCACTCACCATAAAGAGCTCCTCTGATGATTTATTTCCATCTACCTCAATGAGATACTGGGGATTGTGTTCAGCCATTACTTCCTGCAGACCATAGAGAGAAAAAAGAAAAAACAAACAATTCTTATAACCCAGCATTATTGGGAAAACTGAACACAAGATCAGAATGTTAATATACTATAAAGAAATCTTAAATATTCTATAATGTATGTTATTTTCAGTGCTTGAGATATTTTGCAAAAGCCCAAACTAGTCTTCTTACCATGCATTTTATCCTCTTTCAGTTTTTCCATTTTTTCTCTACCCTGGAGTTTTAAGGTCCTTCCCAATAAGAAATGTTTCAGGACATCTGTCTACCTGCATATATTTGTAGCTTTGCTATCTGATTTCAAAACCATAGAAGAGTCTGATTGAAATTGAAGTCACAGACTTTTTCACATAGATATCAAGCATCATTTAAAAAGACCAACATATTTTTATTATTTTAAGACAAATTTTTCTTACAGAAAATTAAAAAATGAAAAAGTAGAAAGATGTCTTTAATCCAGCCACCAAAAGGTAAGTACTATTATTTTTCTCCCATCTTTTAGTCCATGAAAAATTCTTTTGCATGTTCAACGGCTTACTTTTTCACATAACATTATAATTAACCTTCCCCTATACTTTTATAAGATCACTGTCAATACAATATTTTAATGGTTTATAAAATTACTTACTGAGGATGTAACACAATTTATTGAATGCTCCTCTGTTGTTTGACATTTAGGTAGGTTACCACATTTTGTTAGTTGTTTTCAAGTATTTATTTATATATTTTATAAAGTTTTAAAAATCGGTTAATGGACATAAAGAATGTTTATATTTTGTAATGATGAATATTCTAATTATCCTGATGTGATCATCACATATCGTACACATCTATTGACATTCAACTCTGTGTCCCACAAACAAGTATAATCAGTTAGGTTTCAATAAGAAAAGATTTTTTAAAGAATAAAGTTTTAAAAATTATGCTCTTTTTCAATAATTACAAAAGTAACTGTACTAACTACAACCAGTGAAGGAATGCAAACAAATACATAGAAACTGTTAACATGACCCCTCCCTGCTCCTACACTCTGCCTTCCCCAATCAGGTGTGTCTATTTCCTCCTTATTGTTATGAATATATGCACACATATACATGTTCGATAAAACTGAATAAGCATCCTTTTGCTATACCCTGATATACTGGACATATAGGCCAGATTTCCAAAAGTATGTTTTAATATTAATAGGGTTTCCTATTAATATTAAGAGGGAAACCTTTTGGGTTTCCAAATGGTTGCAGCAATTCAAAACTCTCACCAGCAGGCCAGCCCCACGGCCCACTCAGGTGAGTGCGGTGCTGTTGGCGCCGAGGCCGCAGGTTCGGATCCTGTATAGGGATGGCCAGTGCACTCACTGGCTGAGCGTGGTGTGGATGATACCGAGCCAGGGGTTACGATCCTCTTGCCGGTCAAAAAAAAAAACAAAAAAAACCCCTCTCACCAGCAATGTAGGAGATGTTCATCTCTTCCTGCCACCATCAGCTATTTTAGCTTCCAAATTTCTGCCAAACTGAGTTGAAAAATGGGATTATTTACTTTTTATTCCCCTGGTGAGGTTCAGCATTCAGATATCCATCCCTGTAACCTGCCTAATCATAACCTCTATGTATTTTTCTATTAGATTGTTTCTTTTCTCTAACATTCACGGAAAGTCTTTAACCCTTATATGTCGCATAGATTGCAAATACTTTACCTTTCTATGTATTATCTTTTGACTTTACTTATGGTGTCTTCTGCAACATAACATATTTTTATAATCAAATATATCTGTTTTCATTGTTTCTGAATTCCTTTCTTTTTAAAAATTTTATTTATTTTTATCTTTCTTTTTTTATTTTATTTTTTTTTAGCTGCCACTTATGAGGACATGCAATATTTCTCTTTCTGTGTCTAGCTTATTTCACTTAACATAATTTTCTCTTAAGTTCATCCACGTTGCTGCTAATGGCAGAATTTCATTCTTTTTTATGGAAGAGTAGTATTAATGGAATAAATGTGTGTATACACCACACTTGCCTTATCCAGTTGTCCACCAGTGAACATTTAGGTTGGTTCCATATCTTGGGTATCGTAAATAAAGCTGAATAAACATGGGAGTGCAGGTATCCCTTTGACATGATGATTTCCATTCCTTTGGTATGCCAGCAGCGGAACTGCTGGATTCTATGGCAGTTCTATCTGTAGTTGTTTGAGGAACCTCCATACCATTTTCTATAATGGTTGCACCAATTTATAGTCCCACCAACAGTGTAAGAGGTTTCCCCTTTCTCCACATCCTCGCCAGCATTTGGTATTCTTTGTCTTTTTGATAATGGCCAGTGGAACTGGGGTGAGATGATATCTCAATGTGGTTTTGATTTGCATTTCTCTAATGCTGAGTGATGTTGAGGATTTTCTCATGTGTCTGTTGACCATTCGTATATCTTCCTTTGAGAAATGCCTGTTCAGCTCCTTTGCCCGTTTTTTAATCAGGTTATTTGTTTTTTTTTTTTTTTTTACTGTGAAGTTGTTTGAGTTCCTTGTATATTCTGGATGTTAAGTTTTTGTCAGGTGGACAGTTTGCAAATATTTTCTCCCACTCTGTAGGTTGTCTTTTCATTCTGTTAATTGCTTCTTTTGCTTTGCAGAAGCTTTTTAGTTTGATATAATCCCATTTGTTTATTTTTCCTTTTGAAGCCTGTGCTTTTGGAGTCATATTCATAGTCTTTGCCCAGTCCTATTTCCTGAAGTGTTTCCCCTATGTTTTCTTTAAGGAATTTTATAGTTTCAGGTCTTATATTTAAGTCTTCAATCCATTTTGAGTTGATTTTTTGTATATGGCAAGAGGTATGGGTCTAGTTTCCTTCTTCTACATATGGATGTCCAGTTTTCCCAGTACTATTTATTGAAGAGACAGTCTTTTCCCTGCTCTATGTCTTGGCGCCTTGGTCAAATATCAGTTGGATGTAAGTACATGGGTTGATTTTTGGGTTCTCTATTCTGTTCCATTGGTCTGAGCATCTGTATTTACAGTACTTTGCTATTTTGGTTACTACAGCTTTGCATTATAATTTCAAGTCAGGTAGTGCTATGCTTCTGGCTTTATCATTTTTGCTCAGGATTGCTTTGGCTATTTGGGGTCTTTTGTTGTTCCATATGAATATTAAGACTTTTTCTATTTCTGTGAAGAATATCATTGGTATTTGGTATTTTGATGGGGATTGCATTGAATCTGTAGATTGCTTTGGGTAGTACGGACATTTTCACAATGTTAATTCTTCTAATCCAAGAGCATGGAATTTCTTTCCATCTTTTTGTGTCCTCTTTAATTTCTTTCAACAGTGATTTGTAATTCTCATTGTAGAGATCCTTTGCCTCCTTTGTTAACTTTATTCCTAGGTACTTTATTTCTTTGGTGAGTATTGTAAATGGGCTAGTTTTCTTGATTTCTTTTTCTGCTAGCTTGTTGAAGTATAAAAATGCTACTGATTATTGTGTTGATTTTGTATCCTGCACCTTTACTGAAATTGTTTATCAGCTAAAAGTTTTTTTGTGGAGTCTTTAAGCTTTTCTACATATACAATCATGTCATCTGTAAACAGGGACAATTCGACTTTGTCTTTTCCAATCAGGATGCCCTTTATTTCTTTCTCTTGACTTCATTTTTTAAAATTCTTTTTTCCTTTTTTGTCTGCCTGGGTTATTTCAAAAAGACTAAGATCAGAAATTCTTTCTTCTGCTTGTTCTAACCTGCTGCTTAAGCTCTTGGCTGTGTTTTTTATTTCATGGAATGAATCCTTCAACTCCAAGAGTTCTGCTACATTCTTTTTTAAGGCATTAATCTCTTTGCACATTTCCCCCTTAGATCCTAGGTACTTTTCCTGATTTTGTTGTGTCATCTAACTGAGTCTTTTTGTATATTATTAGGTTTCCTTAAGATTGTTGCTTGGAATTCCTTTTCAGTTCTTTCAAGGGCTTTTTGCTTTATAGGGTCTGGTACTTGAGAATTATTATATTCGCTCATTGCTGTCATATGTTCTTGTTTTTTCATATTTCTAGTATCTCTATGTTGATGTCTAGTCATCTGGTAGGGCACTTGCTTTTTCTATTCCTCTGGAGTAGGCTTTGAGGAGAGAGACTTCCTCCTGTAGATGTGTTTTATAATGACTGTAAGTGGGGTGTTTTAGTATTGGTTCCGGGTAGATGCAGTAATGTTGTCTTTATGTGGGTACTTATGCCTAGTTCAGTGTTGGAATTGCATGTGAGTGCCTCTGTGGCCTAGTTTCTTGGGTATCTAGTGATTCCTTGCTGAGGTTGGTGATACTACATTGGTTCATCCAGGACATGAGCAAGTTCTCGAGTTCTTGGGAGAAATGCCTTGGTGCCCTGTCACTCTCTGGCTGTGGTGGGTGACCCTGGCTAGGCCTGTTGGCACCCTGGCTAGCTCCCTGTAACCCTGATGGGTGTACTGGGATATACTAGTGCGCCTCAGTTTGAATGGGTGAGCCTGGGTGGGGTTTCTCTTTCCTCTTTCCTATAGGCAGAGGCTCTTCCTGGTTCCTCGCTTCCCCTGGTTTGGGATGGGTTAGTGGTGATTGGAAATTTTCTTCCTTACTTTATTTGGATGTCCTGGGTTTCTGTAATCTTGGGGGTTCTGCATGTGTCTCTCCCCAGGTGAAGGCAGTTCCATGTGCTGTGCACGTACCCCCCATGCCCAGGCATGCTACCACATATGACAGCATAACTCCCCCATGGGTTGGGCCACTGGGTTGTGGGCCTGCACTCTCTCACCTCTTTCCCCAGGCTCCTCTGGAGATTCTTCTTCTGTCTATGCTGATAAGTGATCAGTGAACTGCCTATAAGGTGGCGGTGGCTGCTGGTGTGGTGGTGAGCCGCCCTTGAGGAGGCAGTTGCTGTGGCAGTGGCTGTTGTGGACTATGTGCTCAGTGCCAATGTCACTCCTTTCTTATTTAAATTAGATTTTCTCTATCTAAAGATTATATTAATATTCTTCTAAATTTCCTTCTACTATTTGTTTCTATTTTTAATATTAAAATCTAAACTTTCCTGGATTTTATTTTTATACATGTACAATGTTGAATTCTGTCTGATCCCTGTGTTCCCCAAAAACAGGGATGGCAGACAAATAAGATTCACCTCCGTCCTTCCTCCAAGACTCAGATAAAATTGGTGTTCAACCTTCCTCATGACTCCATAAGACTCAAGTATGGCTCCCTTGTTTACTTGCTCCCATAAACCCCAGACCCCTTCTATTTCTTTAGAAGGTCCTTATTCATGAACATTCTCCCTTTTGTTATAGCCCGAACAAAGTCATCTCCTTCATTATATAGTGCATTTTGTTTTCCACAATACTGAGCGAGGTTAGATTCTTAGTGTTTGTTTTCTTCCTAACAGACAGCAGATTATGCCAGCATTACTTATTTAATCATAAATAACCATGTTCTGCACAAGGCAGTATGTAATGCTCTTCAGCTAGATTCTTAAGAATGGACTTTCAAAGTTGAAAGGTATGAACATTCCTAAGGAAATGGATACAAGAGCCAGGAATCAAGTTAGGATTTGAAGACAGACAAGAATGAGGAAGTGGCCTTGTCTTACCCCCAAAGCCGTGTGCAGGACATAAACCCCAAAGCAATGCCACTTAATCTGTTCCTATTTGCTTCCCTTGCATCTCTTCGCTGCACATTGAACTTTACTGGTCTTGGCCTCCAAGCAAAATGATACCTCGACCAGGTCAGAGGAGACCAGAATTGTAGGTTCTTACCTTTTATGGCTCTCCCTGACCTCTCCCTCTACACATATCAGTACCCTGCAATTACCATATAAGGCAAGTGTTTGACTATTCAGCAAGTGTCACTTAGGCCTAAAGTCAGGTTCTTGGCTTGGAGATTCTTGCTTTGTTAGCACTAGAACTGAATTCTTATCTATGTTTTGCTGCAGGGCCTAGAAGTTTTCTACTTCTGCACTTTTTGTGGACAAGCTATCGAAACACAGCCATACTAATTTATATTCCTTTTAGCAGAGTATGAGTGTCTGCTTGCTAGCATTAAGAATTCTTATTACTTGCTCATGTTTTTAAATTTGATCATGGTAATGATATTTCATTTAGGTTAGCATTTCTTTAATATCAGTGGGGCTAAACATTTTTCTACAGGTTTTGCCTTTCATTTTTGTTAATTGTCTGCTCATATTTGTTGCCTATTTATTTGAAGAGGGCATAATTTTGTGGGTTTAAAAAAACATTTCTATAATCTTTTAATATATCAAAGTTTTAAATCTTTTATCATAGTTAATGTAGATATTTTTTCAGTTTGTTGTCTTTTAATTTCAGTGAGGTTTTATTTATTAGCTTATTTAATGTCCAGAAGTTTTACATTTAATTAAATTGAAGCTATCACTATTTCTCCTTTGTGATCTTATCATTTGTTCAGCTGAACATTTATTAAGCATTTAGTGCTCCCCAGACTTTGGGCACTGCACTGGCTACAGGCCATGTGAGCATGTATAACCTGGTCCCTGTCCTTAAAGAGACTACCTCTGCATGTGTTCCCCCATGAATATAGCTTTCTAATGTTCTGAATCTGATTCTAAATATGCTTTATTTCATACCCAGTGCCAGCCACTTAAGGAGTACTCAGGATACTTTGTTGAAGGAAGAAAGAATGATATCGATAGGCCTGTAATTTTAATTTACTCTTAGGAAGCTATGTTTAAAGGCCAGTGAGAAAAAAAAAAAAGAGGTGCTATAGAGAATCAAAAGCCACACATAAGAAACAATTAAATGTGTTTCTCATTTTGGGGGATGAATGATGAGAATAAAAATGATCCACTCATTTTTTTCTTTAAAAAAATATAAACATTATAAAACCGCATAAAACAAATTATTTTAGTTTATCAGATGGTAAGAGGCAATTTAAGGAGAATTTTTATTTGTCGTCGGAGTTCTGTTGCTTAGCATAGTGTCTGGCCAAATACTCAAGTTCAGTAAATGTTTGTTGTCTAAATCTCCAACACAACTGACTATATTTGGCAGAATCTTCCCTGGATTTTGACCATATAAAATATGCTTTCCACATAATTATAATATCAGCAACCATACTTTTAAAACACTAATTATTTTATTTGAAACTTTCCTATTACAATATATAATGGCCTTATCATGTTCACATATGATCAACTTTGAATGGGATACCAAAGAAACAAATCTGGGGATAACAATTGTTTAGATTGCAATTTAACTAAATTAACAATTCTTTTTAGAACAAAAGGTACACCTTAAATGTTTTGATAAACCCACAAATTATGGATTGAAAGTGCTCTTTACAAAACAGTCTCTTAACATGAATTTTCCAATACCCATCCATAAGTGAATTTCCATAGTAACTTTAGAAAAATGTAGCTCATTTGTCACTTTACAGCAACAGATTTGCTGGGTAAAATAACATTGCTGTTGGAAACAGCCTTTGGGATGGAAGCCTTTTTCTAAACAGCTTTCTACCAAGCTCAAGAGGAGAATCAGATAGTACATGGGGATGAAGACATGTGGAATCTACTTAACCACAGGTAAAATACAAATATCAATATTCTCATTTCCAGCAATATGTCTTGTTCTTACCTCCAAACAACGAAGAATTATATCCTTATAAAGTTTAACAGTGTTTTCAACATTTTCCAAATAATCTTCAGGCCTCTGAACTAGATGTTGAATAATTTCAGCTACCATCTTTATTTCAGCAATAAATGCCTAAGTAGAAAATAACAGATTTTCAATATATTTAGGTCAATGATTATTCAATTTGCAAGCCACATTCCTCCATCGTTAGACCTAGATGCCATTTGGAGGTGAGAAGCAGGTGGAGGTAAAGATTAGAGACTAAGTGTTTTTAAGAGAGATGGAACACTCCTAAGGGATCTTTATCAGATGGGATAAAGTTTAAACTGACGTGGATACTTACTCATTTCTTTTTGCTCCTCAATAAGTAGAGAAGAGTAGAGGGCAAATGTCATATTTATAGAGACAAAATAATGAAATTATATTTTCTCTAAATACCTGAGCTTATAGTTCATTTGTTCATTCATTCGTTCATTTGGTAAGCATTTACTGAGAACCTACTAAGTGCCAGGCACTGTTCTAGGAGCTTGAGATACAACAGTGAAAAAACCAACTAATACCCTGGGCTCATAGAGCTCACATTGCAGGTGGGGAAGACAGAGGATAAACAAGTAGGCAAATAAATACATAACATATTAGGTGGTGATAAATAGTAGGAAGAAAATAAAGCAGGGTAGAGTGGTGGAGAGTGATGGGAGAAGGTGTGATTTTATATCAGGTGGTCATGAAAGGTTTCTCTGAAGAAGTGGCATTCAAGCTGAACACAGAGTGAAATGAGTGAGAGAGCCACACAGTTTTCTAGAGAAAGAACATTTCAAGACAGAAGAATAATATGTGTAAAACTTCTCAGCCCAAGGCCTGGACATGGTAAGTGTTCCATATTATATTTATTATCATAATTATTCATTCTTTCCAGTTTTTATCAATGCATACCCATACATATTTTATGCAGTTTGAATCATGTTATCTCTATAAGTCATTTATAAATTGTTTTAAACATTACTTTAATGGTCAAATAATACATTAATTTACTTGACTATACAATTATTTAATCACTATTCTATAGTTAGACAACATGAATGTTTCAGATTTTTCACAATTATAAATAATGTTGCAATGAATAGCTTTGTACATAAATCTTTATAATGATAATATGTCCCTTAGAATAGTTCCTAAGAGTGGACTTACTGGACCCAAGGTTATACATTTTGAAGTGGCTCAATCTATACTCTTTTCCAAAAGATGCTACCATTCTTTTCTCTCTAGGAAGGCTCTGCTAGCATGCTCACGTGACTCTTTCAGTCACTGTCCAATCTCTCATTAAGCACCTATTATCTGCCTAGCACTGTTACAGGCACTGGAGATAATCCCTGTGACACTGAGTTTACAGTTGGTGGGATATAAGCGAGTAAAAAGTCATATAATTTCAGAAAGTGATTAGTCCTATGAGGAAAATAAAGAAGGGTAAAGGGCTAGACTTGTACTGCCTAACATGGAAGCTATTAGCCACATAAACCTGTCAAGCACTTGAAATTTGGTGAGTGCAAATTGGAATGTGCTGTAAAATACACACCTGATTTTAAAAACTTAGTATGAAAACAGAGTGTATCATTCTTAGAATTTTTATGTTGAGGATATGTTGAAATAAAATTTTGGAAATATCAAATTAAATAAAATATGTTATTAAAATTACTTTTGCTTGTTTCTTTTTACTTTTAAAAGCATGGCTACTAACAAATTTATTATCACATATGGCTTGCATAGTAGTTGTATTGCACAGCGCTGGGTTAGAGGGCTGCTTGCAGGATGGTCTCTGAGGATGGAATACCTGGGCTGAGGCCAGGGTGAGGAGGAAGAGCAGCCACGTGAAGAAGGCCTGGAGAAGAGTGTAGTGGGAGAGGGGAGAGAAAACAGTCAGTGCAAAGGCTACAAGTGTGAACGAGCTTAGCGCAGCTGAAGACGAGCTAGAAAGCTAATGTGGCTGGAATACAGCGGGCAGGCAGGAAGAGAGTAGCCAGGGTTGAGATCAGAGAGGCTGGGTGCTTGGCCTTGTAAGCCATGTGAGGGTGTTTGGATTTTAATGTAGAGGTAATGGAAAGTCACAGAGGGTTATATTTTTTAAGAATGAATCTGGCTTCCGTAAGGAATGGACTGGGAGAGGGAGGACTGAGAAGAGTGGAAGCCAAGAGAACATTTACAAAGCCATTGCAGCCGTTCAGGGAGACTGTTTAGATTTGTGTGTAGGTAAGAATGAACACACTTCCATGCATAATAATCCTGAACGGGCAGCCAGTCTACTCATGTAACTTCTGAATATGGCACTGCCATTGGCATACTCTGAAGAGGGGCATGTGCTTCGTGACTGTCCCATGAAACTTTCTGCTATAATGGAAATGTTCTGTATCTGTGCTGTTCAATTAGGAAGACACAGCCATATGTGGCCACTGAGGACTTGAAAGATGACTAGTGCTACCAAGAAACTAAATTTTAAATTCCACATAATTTTAATTAATTTAAATTTAAGGGGCCGGCCCGTGGCGCACTCGGGAGAGTGCAGCGCTGGGAGCGCAGTGATGCTCCCGCCGCGGGTTCAGATCCTATATAGGGATGGCCGGTGCGCTCACTGGCTGAGCGCGGTGCAGGCGACACCACACCAAGGGTTGCGATCCCCTTACCGGTCACAAAAAAGACAAAAAAAAAAAAAAAATTAAATAGCCACGTGGAGCTGGTGGTTACCATATTGGACGGTGCAGCCCTAGCCCACTCTAGTCCTCACTCTTCGATTGTATCCCTGGCTGACATCACCAATTGACATAACCTGTCTGGCCCCAGAAATGAAGCGAGTTGGGACCCCTGGACCTCACCAAATGAGTGCTACACTGGCTTTAATTTAAGATAGTATGCTTTATTCATGCTACAGTGACACACTTTTATTCCTATTTGCTATGAGGTTTTCCCTTCTTTTAAAAAATATGAATTAGATGCTGGGTTATTAGCTAATGCTTTATTTGCACAAGTAAGATTATTTTATGTTTCTAAATGGGCTTTATTATGTTAACAGTTTTTTAAAATGAAGGAACCCATGTCAAAGATTTATTTAACTCATTAGTGAGGGAACCAGCAGGATGGCAAAGCAGAGGTATTTATAATCACTGAAGTAAAATGCTTAATGACCTATGGGGCAACAAAACTGTGACCTTTGGGGGTTATCTCTCCTACTGGACAAATGATTTGCAATGTATCCATCTATAAGTTAACATCTGCCTTCGGAGAGTCTAACCTCTAATAGAAATACTCAATCGCAGGCACATTTCACTAGAACAGGTATTGGAAAGCTATGGTTCATTTCACACTGGTGGGCCAAATCTAGCCCATCGCCTGTTAACAGAGTTCTTAATATCAAATTTTCCTCTTTAAGACCTGGTAGAAGATTCTTTCGATGCCCTATTGCATTATGTTTACTATTTACTTTACTTTAAGATTGTTGTATTTACTTTAAGATTGTTGTAACAATATGTATATGTGAAGCTAGGCTACAGAATTCCTTTCATGTGCTCTCTTTGTCACAGTTTGGAATCAGGGTTGTATTAGCAACACAAATTGAATTATGCCTGGGCTACTTTGCTCGCCATATTATACTTTGTCTTTTATTGTTCTAACTCATTCTATCTTGCATAGTGCTTGACACAGAATAGGAGGCCAATGACTTTGTTGCTATAAAATGTAGCAGACTACTGGTCAGAATGTACAGGGACATTTATGCTGACAGGAAGGTTAAACTTGACCTCAGGATTATGATCTAATAGTTTTTGAAAACATGAAATATTTTTGCTTATTTCCTCTAGACTCAATAAAAATTTAAAGGAAATGTAACTTTTTCTAGCATCTGCTATTTTTTATTATCCATGCTATCATTTAAATTAATTATAGCCAATTTTAAAAGTACAGTATATTACCTCTTCTTCTTCTTGCTCTTCTTCCTCTTCTCCTTCCTCTTCTCCTTTTCCTTCTTTTTGGGCTTCTTTCTTCCTTTTCCTACGACTCTCAATGACTTCGGGATCCCACTGGTCTCTAGTGTATATGTATCCCGTGCTACTGTGCTGTCTTTGCCCGGAAACTCTTTGGCATAAATCATAGTCAGTGCACTAAGAAACAACATTATTAAACCACTTAAAACATTTGAATATGCCTTTAATTCCTATTCATATATTAGCTAATACATTAAACCAAAAAATTCCTTAAAAACTTGAGCAAACGTCATGTTGTGACTGGCATCTTGCATCAGATTTCACTACATGCCAAGAGAGGCACGGACACAACTTTCATGCTGTGCCAACATTTTTATTTGTCCAAAATTAATATATGGGAAGAAGTATCAGAAGTTTTCACATGAAGAAAGAGGTTAGAAGAAAAGTAGAAAGAATAGAGAAACAGAATAGAAGATCAGTTTAGTTTGCAAAGGTACAGGAGGATTCTATACGATTACTTTGATAAGAATAAAAATGAAGTAAAATGGGGGGAAAATCTACATATTTCCAACAAAAAATTCTTGTGTATTTGCCATATTTACTATTATTTACAGTTTTATTGGTCAAGTATTTCATAAAATGCCAGTCATGAATGGGACCTGAAAGATCATCTATTCTAGCCTAACTTTGAAATTTCCTAAATGAGAAAACTTTGAGTCCAGATAGTAAAAAAAGCCAAAACCAAAGTCTATATGTAATTTTCTTATGTCAAAGTGCTTTCACATGTGCAATTTTACTTAATTCTCAAACTAACCCTGTAAGATAAGTAATTTAACACTTTGATTAAAGCCTTTTTGCAGATCAGAGAAGTACAGTTCTGGCAGGTTAAGAGACTGGCCTCAGATTACAATGTCATACAATGGAGGAACTCCAACTTGGAATGAGGCCATCTAATCCACAGTCCATGCTCTGTGGGCACGTTAATTAATAACGATGGCTTGGGGATGTAAATCCTGCTCTGAATATTTTTCAGTATTAAAAAACTTCTGGATAATATTCTATGGCAGTGATTCTCATTAAGGTATAACTGTATATGACTCATCTGGAAAGCTTGCTAAGTAGATTTCTGCTCCTCTTTGAAATTTATTAAGTTCAAGGCAAGGCTTAGACACTTTAACAAGCATCCTCAGTGATTCTGATGCTGACCGTTCATGTACCACACTTTGAGAAACAAAGAAAACAAGGAACTTTGGAACCTTCCTTGCTCATTTTCTGATTTCTTTATGCCACCTCTACATGGAGAAGAGATGGGTATTTATTGAGGCAAGACTTTTATTTAGGCTTTCTAATTTTTCACAAAAAGGTTTTCAATCCATTCAGGTAATTTAAAAAATGTGTGTGTTTACAACCCAGGATACCCACATTCTGGGTCCTTGACAAAAACTATCACCTTCAACTGTCTCCTGTTTTCATTTGCAGGAAGTGATTGATAAGACAGTGAGTCTGGAGGATGTGCCTCAGAGCAATGGTCCTCAAACTCTAGCAGGCATCAGGGTCATCTGGAGGGCTTTGCTACACCAATAACTGGGCACCACCCCCACAGTTTCTGGTTCTTAGTTCTGGATTGGAGCCTGAAAATTTGCATTTCTAACAAGCTTCTGGGTACTTCTGATGCTATTGACTCTGTGACTACACTCTGAGAACTCCTGCTCTAGTAGGTTGCTGGCCCTTGCCCATTTTTTGTAGGAATACCTCTTTAGCATATGATGAAAGCCATAGGCTTTTGCTTCAGAAAAATGCACATACACATAAAATTTTGCATGTAATTTCAGGAGGTTCATGGATGCTTAGAGATTCACGGATTCCAGACTAAGTACTTCTGCTCTAGAAAGTCCAGGCTTATCTCCAAATAAGGCCAAGCCACCAGAAAAGGGTGTGTTTCACTGACTTGTGTCTCACTTAGACCGTCTGATTACCCTCTGGTAACCCTGTGGAAACTGCCACAGGACACTCACTATACCTCTTACAATACAAATGGGGTTACAGACCTCATTCACTACATTAAGCAGTCTCTTCTATTAAGACCTATGTAAGATATTTCCAATGAGAGTTCTGTTTTTCCTGAGGAATGGCTTGTCTTCCCATGGACAATGTGAATTTTACAACTGGTCACATTTTCCCTTTTTTACTTTGGCTCATCAAACCAAATTGACTGATTGATTGATCGATTTGTGTGTGCGTGTGTGTGTGTGTGTCTGTACATCTGAGTTTTAAGTCAGTTAAATAAAAGAGGCAAAGACAATAACGTGTATGGTAATGAAACTTGTTATGGGCTGAATGGTTTCCCCCAAATTCATATATTAAAGTCCTAACCCCAGTACTCCAGAATGTAGGGCTGTATTTGGAGACAGGGTCTTTAAAGAGGTAATTAAGTTAAGATGAGGTCATTAGGGTGGGCCCTAATTCAACAGAACTTGTGGTCTTAGGCTATGGTCCGAATATTTGTGTCCCCCCCAGATTCAATGTTGAAATCCTCATTCTCAAGGGGATCATATTATGGTGTGATTAGGGATTTAGTGATATGGGATTAGTGCCCTTATACAAGGGACCCCAGAGAGCTCTCTCACTCCACCATGTGAGGACGCACAGCAAGAAGGCACTGTTATGACCCACATTTAATAAGCATTTAGGGCCTTTCAGTCTGTGTATCTGTGTGCTCTCTTTCCACCAGCCTTAATTTCCTATTTAATGTATTTTAGACTTTATATTTGGTTTCAGTATGTTGTTTGAGATCCTCTCTTCTCTCCATTGTGCACAGTTCACATGAATGACATTCTCAAGTTTACTTGGGACTTTGGCCATGGCCATGAGCTGTGGCCGGGCTGCAAATGCTATCACGTTCAGCACTGCAAAGGCCACCTTCCTCTCAGAGCTGACCCTGACACTCGACTGGGTCCCAACACGTGAGCTGAGAACCAGCTAATTTATTTTTAGCTGTCATAAACCCTTTGGGGAGCCAGGCAGGCTATGAATACAAAAGCTTATCATTCATTTTCACATTGTAAGTAGACATCACCTTTTTGGATTCTTATCACCACCCCATGAGGCAGCTATTAGCATTTCTGTAAAGAGGAAATTGAGCCTTCTAAATGTGATTTGCCTAATTCTAACAGTTAATAAAGGAGAGAATTGGGCACAGAACCCAGCCTTGACTCTTAACCAATGTAGTAGTGTTCTTTAACATTCATACATCGAAGTCATTTCGTCTGTTCTTTCATTTTCTTTAATTGGTACACTTATCAGGTGTCATTAGGCACCGGTTCCTAAGACATGGTTCCTACCTTCAAGTGCGACAGTTGAGGAGGAAAATGGACAATGAAGGAGAGAGAGAAAGACAGAGAGGTGTATGGAGGAGTGGTTGTCTGGGGAAAGTCCTGAAGAGATGATACTGGGACTAACTGTCAAAGGATGGCCGTGATTAAGCCTGGTGAAGAGGCAAGAAAGTGTTTCATGTAGATGGTGCTTAAGGTCCAAAAGCACAGAAATATAAGAAAATATAACTCAACCCCTGTGATTGATGCATAAATTACTTAGTAGTTCCATAACTACTCCAAAATTTGGAAAACATTCCTCAAATGTTTTCAAATAGAATTCTATCAAATAGAAGGTTTACTATACTAGAAAAACAACTGATATTCTTACCTTAATATTGATTATAATATTAGGTTTCAGTTTTAAGTTTTTGAGTAATTGTATTTGCTGCAAAGTAGTCATGGCATCCTGTGAAAGTGATGGTATTTCAGTGATAATATAACCTATAGAGGAAAGTATAATTTTGAAAGTTTTATAATATTATCAATATACAAGAGCATGGATTTATTATTATTACTTTATAAAATATCATCTATTTATTGAAGAATATTAATTCAAGTCATAAAGTCACCTGTCAACATTTTTTAATTAACAGTTAAGGTTATTGCCACATGAGGTGTAACTGTGAATAATGTTTTTTTTTTCTGATAATAAAAAAAAAATCATTGGGCTAGGAGAAGACACCTTTAAAAATTTCAAATCAATTTATTTTAGACAGATAACATGCCTATGGAAGGAAATTCCACACTAGTAATTCTTTTAACTCATGTTAGGAAAGCTCATATGATGAGTAAAAGTTTATTATAGGGGTTACACAGCATATTTTCTTTCTTAAACTAATGTTTCATAATATAATAGAATATATATGTATATGGTGTTTATGTGTGTTATAGAAAGTAATAAAACACCCATGTACCCACCATGCAGTTTAAGAAACAGAACATTATCAATATGATTTTAGCTTAGCATATCTATTGGCTTTTATTTTAACAAAGCAGACCAACAACCATCATGATAATCCAAAATTTAATTAAATGCTTAGGCACATGCTAAATTCTAAGCTTTTTCCAAATACACTACTTTCTGCTATGTGTTTGACACTACCCAGAGAAGCAATCCTAGGTATTTTAACTTCAAAAGACAGAAAGGGAGACATTGAGATCTTGGTTTTGGATATGAGCTACAGTCATGATTCCCTTTTGTCTTGCTATTATCCTTAGTTTCCAACTTGGCTCATCTATGTGCTGTGCTGCGATATTTGAAATAGTGTGGTGTCCCAAGGCATCCACCCTATTTAAGGCTCTTTAAATGAGTCCAGCACACCCCTGCCAGAATGTAGCTACTGCACACATTGGCACCGTCTCAGGGACTGGATAACAACCTCTCTGCTTGCCTCCTCCTGTTGTTCCTGCATTTTGCTTTCCTGGCTCCACACTCCCCTCATGTGGTTTGGCATCTTCGCTGTTGTTAATCTACACCCTACTTGATTATCAGCCTTATTTGAACTTGTTTTCAAGACTTGGCCCAGTACCTCAAGGATGTTGTGGCTGGCATTTAGCCCTGGTCTGACACATTGTGATAGTGGGTGCTGTGGTGAAAGGGACCGCACAGCCTAGCCCCAGATAGAATTCAACCCTTGCTCAACTCACTTCTCCTGATTGGACAATTCCAGAGACTAGTCTGTCTCCAGAGTCCTTGACCTCCCCTTCTCAGCAACAGTGGATTACAAAATAGCTCCCTCCCATTCCATATGCTGGCAACACTACGCAACATCATCCGTTAAGCCCAAGTGGATCACAGAGAGATGCTCTGGTTTCCTGTGCTCTCCAACACCCTGCATGTGGCTACAACCACTGCCACTGCCTGGAGAGCTAGTAGGCATTCCAAGTCTGACTATTTGCAGAAATACTGAACCTCAGGGGTTCACGTGTATCTGAATGAATTTCATACTTGATCTCTTTACTGGTGGAAGCAACAGAAGAATGAGTTGTTTCCATGGGATATGGCTTTCTCCAATAGGCCAATATTTGGATCTGAATGTTCTGAGCAATGGATTTTGAGGCTCTACTCATTGAGCAGTGTTTGGTATCATCACATCCAAACCCTACGGGTGTATCTATGGGAGGAGGTGTGGAATAGACAGTTACATTTTCTTATTTATTTAAATTTTTTTCTTTTTTTTATTGAAATGAAATTGATTATACATATTTGTGGGGTACAAAGTTGAGTATCAATACCTGTGTACAATGTGTGACGAGCAAGTCAGGATAATTATCCTATTCATCACTACAAAACATAATCATGTCTTTGTGTTGAGAATATTCAGTCTCCTTTCTTCTATTCATTTGATAACATGCAGTAAATCATTGTTGGTTATAGATGCCTAGCTCAACTGTACATCAATAGAGGTTATTTTTCTTTTTTTTTTTTTTTGTCTTTTGTCTTTTTCTGTGTCCGGCAATGGATCGCAACCCTCAGTGTTGCCCCCGTACCGGACCGGGGACCGGCAATGGGATCGCAACCCTCGGCGTTGCTCCCGCGCCTCGCTCAGCCAGTGAGCGGGAACCGGTCTGCATGTGGGATCCGAACCCTCGGGCGGGAGCGCCGCCGCACCTCTCAAGCGGCGCACTATCCAGTGCGCCACCGGGCCGGCCCTAGAGGTTATTTTTCTTAACTAGCTGTTTTGTGTCCCTTAACCCATTTCTTGGTATAGTTTGTCAATGTCAGCACTAAAACAAACAAAAACAAAACTTCTGCAATATAGATTCGTATTGCTTTGAATCTACAGGCCAATTTGTGGAGAATTTACATCTTTACAGTATTGAGTCTTCTAGTCCAAGAGCAAAGAATATCTCTCCTTTGGGATTTGGGCCTTTATTAATGCTTTAAAATAACTCTCAAGCGGTGCACTATCCAGTGCGCCACCGGGCCGGCCCTAGAGGTTATTTTTCTTAACTAGCTGTTTTGTGTCCCTTAACCCATTTCTTGGTATAGTTTGTCAATGTCAGCACTAAAACAAACAAAAACAAAACTTCTGCAATATAGATTCGTATTGCTTTGAATCTACAGGCCAATTTGTGGAGAATTTACATCTTTACAGTATTGAGTCTTCTAGTCCAAGAGCAAAGAATATCTCTCCTTTGGGATTTGGGCCTTTATTAATGCTTTAAAATAAGATTTTATAATTTTCTCCATAAGATCTTCAGCAATTTTTATAAAATTTGTTCTTTGATAATTTATATTTTTGATACTAATTAAAATATTCTAAAATTATATATTCTGTTTGTTGCTAGTGCACAGAAATTCAATTTTATATATTTATATTTAAATCCAGCAGACTTGCTCAACTCTTTTTTTTATTGAAAAATAACTGATTAAACATATTTGTGGGGCACAGAGTTGAATATCAATACCTGTGCACAATGTATGATGATCAAGTCAGGATAATTAACATGTTCATCATTACAAAATATAATCATTCTTTGTGTCCATTAACCAATTTCTCGCTGGCCCCCCTCCCGCTCCCCCTTTCCTACCTCTAGAAACCACAGCTCTATTCTCTTTTTATGAAAGACAGTTATGTTATTTAAGCTTGTCCCACCATGGCAGATGTAGAGTGGAATAACCTAGTCCTCTAGACCCAATCTGGGAAGATCTCAGAGGGACACTGCTTAGTAAACAGAACAGAGCTGCTGAGCATACTATCAACTTCCCGAATCCCCGAGACATGTGCAAGTATGGAAGCATAGACAGGGAACTCCCCCTCCCTTCCCCATATCTCCTTGAGACTGTTACAAAGTCCTCCCACCTCTCCCCCCATGCTGGAGGTAGAGGAATGGTGACCCCTGTGCCAATTCTCCTTGCTGGGAGGCTCTGCACATGCTTTCATAGCAGAGCAGGCGCTTTGTAGGCAACTGTCCAGCCTGCATGACCCCAACCAGTAGAAAAAAGACTGTCTAGGGGAAGTCAACAGGTCCAGGCCAATACCATTACTTTGCCTCCATTTCTTGGCAAAGTGGGAAGGAGAAAACATTCCCTATTTCCATAAAACTGAATATGGCAGGCTACTGCTTTCAGTTTGAAGTGATGAGAGGTTCAGAGACATCAGGTAGCTTTGTGTCCAGCCAGCCCTGCTACCCATCTGACCTCAGGCCAGACTGACATGAGTGGACACATTGATGACCAATGACTTGCAAGACCATGTACCATGTGATACACCTGGGGCAGGGAATGCCCAGACTGTGGCTGTCCATCATTCACTGGGGACAATGAGTTTTTCTAGGATTTGGAAGCAGGAAGCAGAGAGGAGCTTTTCAAGATGCCCAGGCATTGACTCTACCTTTTTCTCTCTGGTGAGGATGTAGTTCTCAGAAGCTGATTTTGGTTAAAGGCCAACATTGATGATGGGTTGTGAATAAAAAGATTATAATTAAAGATTATGTTGGTTTTTTAAATTGGCGATGGAAGCTCCAATTATAAACGGACTCTGATACAGAAAAAAATTTAGATTAAATTTGGCAATACTCTACTGTGCAGTATCCCTAGCAACATACATCTCTATAGGGGTTTTGGAGTCATCAATTATCCAACCTCAACCAGCCCTTGACTCAAGTTTGTAGCCGGGTTTTGAAAACCCTTCACTTCCAATTTCACTTCTACCTTCTAGTTGACTATTAGGTACAACTAAACATCAGAATGAGAATCCTGAGAATTTAAGCACAGACTTTTGAACTGTGTTTAGCAGAGTGCGAGGTTCCAAAAAAAAATTCCTTTGGGGATGCTACAGGCTGGGTGAGGGGAGACTGGGCAGAAGGGGCTTTGGGTCCTATCTCTACTGCAGCCTTTAACTAGGCCCAGTTGTGCATGCCTAGAACATGGTAATGCAAGCAAATGGGGATAGTGTGGCCCTCAGTCTCAAGAAATGGTTTATATCACCTTTCCTCTGCTAGCTCCTGGGACAAGCACCAGTGCACAGGAAGTACTGTGGACAGAGGAACACACGAAATGATACCAGGCAATGCAATCAGCCAAATCCAAAATGTGGGTAACTCTCCAAGACAAATAACCAGTTTCTTCAACAAAGAAGACACAAGAAGATGAAAAGAGGTAGGGGAAACTTACAGATTAAAAGAGACTTGAGACACACCAATCTGCTGCAATATGTGAAACCTGGTTGGATCCCCCTTAAAAAAAAACAAACCCAAAACACGACAACTAAAAAAATATCTATGAGGCAATTAGTGAAATCTGACACAGACTGGTTAGTAGTTGATATCAAGGGGTTATTATTTAAGGTGTGATAATGGTAATGTGATAATAGGTTTAAGAGTCCTTATCTTTTAGAGATACATACTGAAAAATTTACAGATAAACTGATATGAATTACCTTCAAAATAAAATAGATTAGGAGGGGGAGAAGGTAGAGGTATAGATGATATAAGATTAGACAAAAATTGTCACGGTTGAAGCTGGGTGACAGACTCATGTGGTGGGGGATCTTTATATTAATCTTGGTACTTTATTTGAACTGTTTCCTAATACAAATTTTAAAAGGTTATGAACACTGTGAATGGCACAACCGAGTAAATTTATTTTTCCATGTTCTTTTGTTTCTTTTTTCATTTTGCCAATACTTATAACTTATGCCATATTTTACGTAGCCATGTAAACCACTCAATTTTTCATGAGGTAAGTGAGGTAAAGTATAAGCCAATAGATATTTAGACATGATGATTTCCATTCCTTTGGATATATACCTAGTAGTGGGATTGCCGGATCATATGGCAGTTCTATCTGTAGTTGTTTGAGGAACCTCCATACTGTTTTCCATAATGGCTGTGCTAATTTATCGTCCCACCAAAAGTGTAGAAAATTCCCTTTCCCCGCATCCTCACCAACATTTGTTATTCTAGGTCTTTTTAATAATGCCCAGTTTAATTGGAGTTAGATGATATCTTAGTGTGGTTTTGATTTGCATTTCTCTGATGACTAGTGATGCTGAGCATTTTTCCATGTACCTTTTGGCCATTTGTATGTCTTCCTTTGAAAAATTTTTATTCTTATTTTCTTCTTTTCTTCTAGTCATTCTGAGCTTCAGTGCTCTTTGTCTGGAGAAATTAGATCCAACCAGCATCCATTTGAGTACAGGGAGACTTTCTGGTCCAGAGTTAGAGGACACACTAGATGAACAGGATGAAGTCTGCCAATATGTAGAGCCAGAGGGCAAGCTGGTGCTATTCCAGTTCCTACTCCTGCCTTATAAGTGTGTATTAATGCAGAGAAACTTAACCATTGACAGGACTTAGTGATAAAACTCAAGGTGAATGGGGAAGCAGTCAGCAGAGGCTAACAACACTGCAAGACGGACAACAGCAGGTTTTTGATGCTTTTATTGGATAGCACAATGCTAAATAAGATTGGGTCATATAAACTTTTTTTTTTCTTTTTAACAAATGTAGAATCTGGAGAATAAAAACAAATAAACAAGCAAATAAAACCATCTGAGCTGCTCAACTAAATACAGAAACTGAGATTTCTGTGCTGAGGCAAAAGAAGAGCAACCCCAGAAACTATCTGTGCCTCGGATAAAGCACAAGTTATAAGTCTGCTTTGCTGGCTGTAGATATATGAGAGTAAACATACCAAAGTGAGATACTTCTGGGGAGTTGAGCTTCTCCAACATTAGCTTTGTGACCAATTCATCTGGAATGCTATGACCGCTGATCAGCATTGACTGCAACTAAGAACAAGCATAAATATTGTGCATTACTGTATAATATATCTGTGATATGTAGCTCTTGCTGTTATCACAATAACTTTGAAATTTAGATTCACTTACCATAACTCCTGATTCAGTTTCGGCAGCAATCTGTTCTTCCAAAATTGGTAATGCTAAAACATTAATGAAAAATATTAGCATAAACTAGTATTAGGTTTGCCAAAATAAGAAACACATTTGAATCTCTTGTAACTGGCAGCAAAGATTAATCACTTTAGAATTTACAAAGCACATTTACACACATTATGTCATTTAAGCCTAACCAAAGTAGAGGCAACAGAACATATTCCATAGAGAACTTGTCTCTGTCATCCATAGCTAAAGAATCTTGGGGGAGCTAACTTCCTAAATGTCTCTACGCCTTGGACGCATATGCCCTGTGTAGTATATAAGAGAATGTGAGGATGAAACGAGGTGGCATATATGAGAGTGATTTGTAAATTGTAAACTATTATACACAATATACACTAGTATTATTAGTCCCAATAATTTTATAACTGTACAGTTACATCCAGAGCCCATTAATTTTGCACACTAATTATGTAAAGGGAAAGTATGCATCAACAAATGTTAAAATGGATAAATGCTGATTAGAAAGAAGGGTCCTAAGGCTGAAATTCCAATGACTTGTTTCCTTTTTTAAGAAGAAATATACCATCCCTTGATGGAAGACATCCTGGGATAGGTGTGACCTAGGGGAGGATCCAGGAGCTTAATTATGTCACTAGCTGTTAATAATCTAGGAGATTTTTGGTATTCTTTAAGATTTCCTAGAAGTGAAGTTTTTTGATCAAAGACAGAGGAAAATTTTAAAGATTTTTTTATTTTGTGTGTGTGTGTATGTTATGAATTACCAAATTGTTCTCCCCCCAAATTGGACCAGATCACAAGTTTACTAACAGCATGTGGAATGCCTGTTTCATAACATCCTTGCCAATAATGATTGTGGTAATCTTAAAGATTCACTGCTAATTTGATAGGCAAATATGGATCAGTGTTATTTTAAATAACAATCCTTCAAATAACAGTAAGATTAAACTCTTTTTTCTCATATTGTCTATTTTTATTTCTACTTTTATGAATTGCCTATTCATTGTTTTCCTTATTTTTCTATTATGACAAAAACAGTTTTCTGATAAAAAGAATATTTATATATAAAAATATCAACCCATTGTCTTATATATTGCAAATAATGCAAGCGAATTTATAAATAAAAAAATAAAATTTATCATTGAAGGTAATTAAAGTCTGAAAAATGTTCCCAAGAAAAGCTATGAGAGTTCCTTCCCTTCTCATCTTTCATAAGATACCTAAAAGATACATACCCCAAATAGAGAACACATACCCCATAACAGAGATACATACCCTAATACATACCCGGAATTAGAGAATTAGGGGCAGTAGAATGTAGTCAAGGACATTATACAAACCCTCCTAAATTCTATGAACAAAACTAGGACTAACAGAAGGGCAACACATGATTGGACTGATGCTATTATAAAGATAATATTCACTGGGTTGATAGATGGACAGAGGTATAATAAAGCAAATAACAACAAAATGTTAATCATAGAATCTAGATGGTGAGTAGATGGGTATATGGAAGTTCATTGTATAATTCTTCCCATTTTATGCATATTTGAAAGTTTTCATAATAAAATATGAGGGGTGAAAAAGATAAAATTTACCTTCAACACGAATACATTTCCAAGCCTGTGTTATCTGACGGGCTAATGTTGTCTTCCCAACCCCCTTAAAAAGAGAAATGTATTTAAAACCCAATAGAACAGTCACTTACTAGTGGAACAGATTTACCAATTTTTAAATATTCTATTGATGGTTACTACTACAGCAACGTTAAAAAGTAAATTTTTTCCCATAAAAAAATGAAGAGTAGACCCTGGATATTTATAGTTTCATTTTTCTTTACTAATTCTTGCATATGCCACACCTCCTGAAGTCATTTAAATAAAATGTTTAAAATTAAAAACATAGCCCTGAAATCAGAAAGCTGAATCATTATGGTATTATACTCTTTTGATTGTCAAATTTTATAATTTTGATTACAAATTATTATGATTATATTGAGGTTCATCATTTTATTTCCTTCCTAAAGCTTATAATCACAAATGTTTTGACAGATTCTCACTTAGTAATTTAAGAGCAAAAAAACCCCAAAAAAACCAAGAAAAACAAGAAAAACTTATCAACTGACATCTTTGGAAAGTATATTTTAAAGATAAAAGGTCACTTTCATGAAGTAACATTGCATCTGGTTGCTTTCAAAACTGTATTATGTTGTCTTTTAAAACCGCATTATGTTTTTTGAAAAAAAATGAAAGATGCTGGAACCATTTCTTGATACCTGTCCCAGGGTCTATATAAAATTAAGTTAAGGATGGGATCCAGTCTTAATCTCTGCTATTCTGGAGAGGCCCTTTAATTAACCAGCTCAGGCCCTCTAATGGTAATTACCAATTAGCTCAGTGACTGAAAATAGCCGTTATCTAGAGATCCTTACTAGAACTGGCTAGAAAAGCAAACTATCTTACAACAGCCATTTTGGTTTCTTCCTGTTATGTGGAATGACAATGCATAGGTCCTCTAACACACTGTAGGTAAAGGCTGAGGCACATTGTCTCCCAGTATCTTCAGGTATTACTAGAAGAATCTTCCAGCTGATCTCAAAGGTAGTGTCCTTCCTTCACATATCTAGAGCAGGGCAATAAATTTCAAACAAAATTTTATGCAGATGCTCCTCAACTTACGATGGGTTTATCAGGATGTAACCCATTGCAAGTTGAAAATATCATGTCTAAAATGCATTAAATACCTTAATAAAACCATCTGTAAGTCAACAAATCATAAGTGGAACTATCGTAAATCCAGATGTTCTTCAACCTATGATAGGGTTCTCTTCAATAAACCCATTTTAAAGTCAAAAAAATTGTAAGTTAAACCATCATAAGACCAGGGCTACGTGTATACAAATCAAGTCTGAATAACATTGGATCACATACTACTAACAATTGTCATGATGCAGTCTTTTAATTTCCTCATAATATAAAAACAAACAAATACAATCTAGGTTACTTTTCAATTATAATGTATAAGAAGAGAGAACATTATGAATTTATAACCAATATCATACCAGATTTTAAGTCGTACAATGAAAATGTATCAGACACTCAAAAAATTAGCACACTATGTGGTTTTCATTCTTAAATGGCAACGTATAAGATTGTGATTTTAAAAGTAAAAAATTATATTAAATAATAAGTTAGAAGAGATAACTTACTGGTTTCCCAAATACAGCAAAGCAAACAGGTTTGGACAATAAAAAATTTTTTTCAGTTTCATCTTCATCGAATATATCTGCAAAAGGATGCTCTTCTGTCTTCTCATGAGAAGTCATAATACAAAATACTGTAATAAGAAAGAGTAAGGTTGTGAAAGTACCTAATTTGGTTGGAGTAGACAGGCTAGAAAAAGCTGGAATATCCTGTGAATTTGCCTAGTCCAGAAGCCATTCCACACCACGAAACACATGGGTTTTGTCAGTAATTGCAAATAAATTACACTCATCTATTAAAACAATAATAAGCTCTTAGTTTGAGACAAAAACAAAACCCAACTATGTGCTGTGTAAAAGAGACTCAAACAAAGTGTTTCCAAAAGACTAAATTAAGGAAAAAGTATACATATATATGCAAAAATACACACATAAATGTTATTAAGTATATATTATATTAAAAATCAAATTAAAGTTAAATATGTTGAACACACAAGATACAGAGAAACTGGATCCCTCATACATTGCTGGTGGCACTATAAAATGGTACAATCACTCTGGAAAACAGTTTGGCAGTTTCTTTGAAAACTAAACAAGCAATGACCATATGACCTAGCGATTGCACTCTTTTTCATTTATCCCAGAAAAAGGAAAATTTATGTTCACACAAAAACTTATACATGAATGTTTATAGCAGATTTATTCATAATAGCCTCAAACTGGAAACAACCCAGATGTGCTCAACAGGTGAATTGTTAAACAAACTGTGGTACATCCATACCATGACATACAACAGTGATAAAAAAAGAATAAACTACTGATACACACGACAACCTGGATCAATCTCCAGAGGATTATGTAGAGCCAATAAATAAATAAATAAATAAAAAGTCAATCCCAAAGGTTACATATTGTCTGATTGCATTTACATAATATTCTTGAAATGACAAAAGCATAGAAATGAAGAACAAATTAGTGGTTGCTATGGATTAAGAAAGGGGTAGAGTGGGAGGGAAGTGGGTATGAATGTATAAGGGTAACATGTAGGATCCTTGTGGTGATGGAAATGTGCTGTATCTTGATTGTATCAGTGTCAATATCCTGGTTATAATATTGCAGCATAGTTTTGCAAGATATTATCATGAGGGAAAGTAAGTAAAGGGCATATAGGATCCCTTTGTATTATTTCTTACAACTGCATGTAAGTCTACAATTATCTCAAAGTGAAAAGTTTAACTAAAAAAATTACCTAGCCTGATATGTGTACAAATATACACACATATGCTTAGTGTTCTTAGTGAAATTATTAAAATAGAGGCTTGAAAATATAAATAAGGTAAAAAAGACTATAAAAATGACTGAGCAGATTTGAAAAAGATCCAGGTAGATGTATATAAATGAAAAATACAGAAATGAATAATAAAAATTCAAGCAGTGCATAAACAACAAATGATATAGCTAAAGAGAGAAGAAATGAACTGGAAGTCAGGTGTTGAGAAATTATCCAGAATGACATAGAAAGACTGAAAGTAGGAAAACATTAAAAAGAGACTAAGAGACATCATTAAAACAATAAAAAGTTCTAACAGTTCAAGAAGAAGATAAAAGAGAGAAAAAAAAAGACAGATTGAAAGAGACAGTGACTAAGAATTTTCCAGAATTGCTGATAAAAGTAATCCTTGGATTCAGGAAGCAGAACATAGCATGAAACAGGATAAATGAAAATAAAGCCATACAAAGAAACAAAATGGTAAATCTGCAGAATATCACAGATTAAGATATTTTCTTTAAAAGCAGACCTGGAAGAAAAAAATAGAGTACCCCAAAAAGGAATGGCAATTAAACTGATAGCTGACATTGGAAGCAACGCTGAGTTGAGAGAAAAATATTTTTCAAGTTAGAATTGTATACTCAGGGAAAATATGTCTCAAGAATAAGAGCAAAAAAATACTTTCAGACAAGCAGAAACTGGGAGCTTATTGCCAGCAGATTCTCACTCTAGGAGATTTGAAAGGATCCATTTCAGGCAGAGAGAAAATAATCCTTTCCAGTAGGTCTAGGACACAAGAAAAAAAAAGCGAGCCAAGTTATTGATAAACAAATCTAAGCAAACATTGACTATATGAAACAAAAATAATGTCCAGTTTTTGAGCTTAAAAAAGAAAACTAAGAACAAAAATAATGGGAAATGATAGCATATACATTGGGAGGAGGGAATAGGAGTTAAAGCATTCTAATGCCCTTGCATTTTCCAGAGGAGTGCAAAGATATTGGTTAACAGAAGACTTTATTAAGTGTGCATGCTAGTACCTAGGTAAAGACATCGAACAGACATAGACAGTATAATATTCAAACAAATAGAAAGAAAAATGAAATGAGTGAAAGGGGGAAATAATCTTAGGTGAGAGAGACAAAAAAGAGAAATTTTTAAAATGGGACAAACGAGAGTAAAATAAGATGATAGAAATAAATTCAAATAGATCAGTATTGTCAATAACTCTAGTTAAAAGACACATTTTGACAAGCTGGATTTTAAAAATCAAGATCTTTTCATAGGCATGTTCTACAGGTTCCTGTTGTTACAGCATAGCCAGGTCCTGCAGCTCTGCAAGTGAATTNTCCTGTCCCCTATACAGGATTTCTGGGGGCAAGGTAGAGAAACTATGACGTGATTGATTTCAGCTCAATATCAGGCAGAGCTTTCTAAAAGAGTTGTCCAAAGACTCACTCAGCTGCCTCAGGGAGACTGGACATGTCCAAACACACACTTGTAGCTCTTGGCAGGGATTTTCCTGGGCAATTGACCCCAGGTCATTTTTAAAGGCTCCTTCCAGGTCTGAGAGCCTTTTGTTCTCATACTCACTGTGCTATATACTTGGGTAACACAGGAAATGTGCAAATCAGCTGACAGACCCCAGCATCATTTGTGTGGTGACTTTGTTGGCATGGCCAAGACACAGCTCAAGAGGTGAATAAAATACTCCTCCTAGAGATCAGAACTCATAGCACTGGCTGGTTAGCTCAGT